TGGCATGTGGTGCTGGGGGATCGAACCGCGGTCCCTGTGCTTTGCCAAGCTTGTTCTAAGTAGGTGCTTTAGACCACTGAGCCATCTCTCCAGCCCCTCTAATTTATTTTGTATGAAAACAAAGTAAACTCACTATCTGAACAATCTCTGTTGATTTTCTAGTTAAATAATTACATATCTACAAATTATAACTTTGCTCTTTCCTTTAACTTACAGATGACCGAATTCTCTTTTTAATCATATTGTTCAGAACCCCCAAATCCTGTCTGAAAATACTAACAACAGATATGTTGTTTCTCAGATTGATGGCAGCAAATGGGTATTTTTAGGACATTTTAGAAGATTTCCTCCCTTCATTTCTAGCGAAGTATTTTCAGGAAGCATAGCAATTAAAATATAACACAAACTGAAATAACAGCATTTTCCTTCTTCACTCAACATAATGAAGTAACAGATTTATTAAGGTTAAATTACATCTGCATTCCCCAATGATGTTTTTTGTTTTGTTTTGTTTTGTTTTTTTAGCACATGTCTAGACTTGATTTTGTCAGATTTTACTCAGGATTTCAATACCCATTAAGAAACTGACATATTGCACCCTTTTTCCTGCTAACAATGACCAGTTTTAGTAACAGCAGCAACCTTACAGCCTTAAACCGGGAATCCCGTCATTCTCTTTCATTTTGGGGGACAGGGAAACAGTAGGTCTTGCCAAGCTGCCCAAATCATGCTGAACTTCTGGGCTGAAGCAATCATCCAACCTCAGCCTCTTAGTATCCTGGACCAAAGGTACATGCCATCATGCCCAGCTTATCTGGTTAACTTTTAGGGTTGGTATTGTAATTTAGTGCTAAAGTGCTTGTTCAGCATAGTGTGTCTCATTATGTAGCCCAGGCAGGCCACAAATATCTTATCCTTCTGCTTCAGGCTCCCAAGCAGCTAGTCAGATATATACAAACCATATCTGACTTATCAAAAAAATCCTAAAAAAAAAAAATCTTTTAAATAACAAAGAACTTATCCTAGATAACGAATGTAACTATAGTATCATCTGAAGACTGGGGAGGCTGGGGAAGGAGGGTCACACTGAGTTTGAGACCAGCGTGAGCTCACTAAGTTCAAGGCCAGTCTGAACAGTACAGCAGAGACCCTGTCTCAAAAACAAACTAAACAAAAAATGATATCAACACAGTTGCATGTTGTGGTTCATGCCCATAGTTCCACTTATTCAAAAGACTGGGGCAAAAGAACTGAAGTGTCAAGCCTAAAAAATGGCCCAATCGTACAGCAGATGTGACTTAACTTTTAGGTTACAATTAGCAAAAAAGCACATTGGAATGAGGAGTGAATGTATATGTGTATGTGTTTGGGGGAACCTGTCTCTGGAAATTCCTGGTTTGAGCATAGATGCCAAAGACTCAAACAGGTAATGTTACTCCTTAATCATACATATACTTTTATTTTTTTTAAAGAAGGTCATACATAATACTTGTGATATTGTGCATATCCATGGCAGCTTGCAATTTGTAGTTCAAATGATTACATGATAATCTTGAAAAGATGACATCTATTATGAGGACTGATCACTAACTCTTGTCTAAAAAAAAAAGATTCTTCATATTCAGATTATTGGCAATCATTCAATTGTTCAGTATACCAACAAAAGCCTACTTTTCTTCTGCACCTGGAGTTTTTCCTGAGTTCTACTGAAATAGATATCTTTCATAACATATTATCCTAAATTCCATGAAGATATGAAACATGTCTTTTTCATTCACAACTGTCAGTATCACTTAATGATTACAGTGGTCTCTCACTGGGAGGTTATGTTCCAGATACTACCACGATAAATAAAAACCAGTGAAGCAGACATATTATTGTTTCGTTGTAATTATGTTTATATATATTTTAAGTCTTTAAAACCCTTCCCACACTCTTATAAACCTTTCCCACACTTTTAAAATCACTTCTAATGTTCTTAATCATTTTCTAAACTTGTAACCCTACATAATTTTAACATATGTATACCGTATGTTCCCGAAAAATTCCATGATATAGCAAAAAATCCATGATAAATAATTTAGATTGGGGTCAAGATGTTTGACATTCAGACAGATAGTGAAATTAAACCCAACTACATATGTTGTAGGGTAATAATAAGCTTCTCTTCTGCAGGGTTAACAACCTAAGTTTGCAGACCAAAAACTAGAGAAAAAGAAAGGCTGCAAGGACAGCCAACATTTTGGCCCTAGCCTTTCAAGGTCAGTGAAGACTCAGGACATAGGAGAACCTATACTGTAACACCATGTAACTCAGTTGTGTCCCAAATTTTCTGATCAAGGAGATTATGGGGTCACAGCAGAATGTAATCAATGATGTAGAATGTACCTAAGGAGTCACATGGAGAGAAAACATTCCCTCATGTTTTCACAGAGAGCAAATTGGTCAAGAAATGGCCATGACTCATCTACATGGCTGACAGTGATAAAGGATCTACAAAGTGCAGTACAGGGTTTCAGGATAAATCCTGAGGGGACTTGACTGACCTTATCAGATACAAAAGTTACATTTCTTGTTATA